ACTGACTCCTTGGTCCAACATCAATGACCCGCACAAATCCCCCTTCATTCAACCCCTAGAACTCCCCATGACTCCGCCCATCACCCCTCGCACTCGCCCCCTCAACCGCTCTCTGGACAACAGATTTTCTGCAGGCTACCGAGGGGACCGTTACAAGAACTAGCCCCGAGAAGCACTTCCGCTTAGGGAGCAGCTCTGGCTCTGCAGTATACAGGGCTGCAGCGACAAGATGTGCGCATGCTCAGTGGGGGGGGGATTGAGTCCGCATCCGCCAATAGTCAACCCCTGTGGGGAGGGGCGGCCCTCCAGCAGGTCCGACGCGAAGGCGAGGAGGCCACGGCGCAGGCGCGGAGAGAAGGTGGCCGCACCGATGACGTCCAGCTCAGAAGAGATGGCTTCGCCTGCAGCGTCTCTTCCGAGCGCGGCCATTTGACAGGTGTTTATTTTGTTCTGCGGAGACCGTCATTTTTAAGACTTAAAAGACCAATTCCTTATGACGGGGAGGGGAAATGCCCAATTAAGGAAAATTCTAGCAGGCGCAGATTTAGTGTCTTCATAGGCAACATCGGGTTTGCAGGTGTAATTGAACCGGAAGACGGAGTGCGTGGCAGAACTGCTCTGCGTGCACAAAGGCTGGGAGGTAGGGAAAGGTCACTGGCTGCATCCAGTGCCTTGGGCTGGGAGTTCACAGTGTAGCGTCTGAAAGACGGTATGCAGACAAAAAACAAAAACTGAAGAATAAGTTAACAATAACTTACGATACACACACCCTTGTGTGAAGGGAATGTGTTAAGTAGCTGTTGACAGGTTGCGTCTCTGGATGGACGGGACGATCTCCTTTCATCAGAGGTGACAGTTATGCTGACCAAAAGAAGCAGGCCACCCAAGTATCTGAAGCAGAGAGCTTTCTGGTGGAGCGCATGGCTGTTGCAAAGGCCCTGATGTAGGACCTAATCTGGATTGTTAGGAGTGTGAGAGATGTGAGCGAGGGAAAGGTGGGTGGGGGCCAGATACTGAAGGACCTCCTCTGCCAGGCACAGAGCTCATGTTTCATTCTGGACACAATGTGAAGCCATAACAGGATTAAGATTTTTTAAAGACCAGTCTGAAGCAATCTGGCATTCTATTTAACGTTAAAAATATATACATATTTGACTCTTATTTATTGAGAGTTTTGCACCACTAGAACATGAGATCCACAGGGATTTGCTTAAGCACCTCCTGGATGTCAGGTAGTGTTCTAGACATTGGGAATATAGCAGAGAAGAAAACAGAACCAAAGAAAACAGATGAATGTGATGAAGACAGCCTCATTTCAAATCTCCCCACCTACCAGTTGTGTAACCTAAGTCAGGACTCTTAAATTCTCTGTGCTAAGTTTGCTCATCTATAAAACAGAGATAACAACAGTGCCTGCCCCATTAAGGTTGTGATGACATATGAGTTGATAATTGTAAAGGGTTTAGAACAATGTCTGGCACATAGCAACTGCTATGTAAGTGTTATTATTTAAATGAAGTTAGACATATATATATATATAAGACTTTTTTTACTCAGAAGAAAAATAAAAGAAGACCTGCAGGCTGCTTTTGGAGAACAGACTACAGAGGGCAAGGACTAAAACAGGAAAACCAGTGATGAGGCTCCTGGCAACAGGCCCAACAAATGATAATGGGGGTTCAGACCTAGCTCAGTTTCTCCTGTGTGCCAAGGACATGACACCACCTGCCTCAGATAGTCCCCACTATGTGAACAGGCCTATGGACCCCACTTAGCAGATGAGGGAACTGAGTCCCAGAAGACTAAGTAACTTGACCAAGGTCAGATTCCCAAGGTCAGATCCTTAACTTCTACCCAGTTAAATTCTTTCGTTATCACACAGAACTTCTTGAAAGTATCTGAGGGTCCTCATTCCAGAACCATTAAAACTAGCCAAGGCCTGTTTTTACCAGAAATATAAATAGCAGACAAACCAAAGAGAGAAAGCAGGGGAGTAGTTCAGATCTCTTGCTCCCTGAAGGATCAGCACCTTCCTGGATACAAAACTTGTCCACTCTCTGAATGCATTAGGAGGTAGAAAATAGAAGGGCTGGACCTTTAGGGCCCATCCCAGTCTGGCCTGTTCCATCCCACAAACATCATTACCCCACTACTTATATACATACACACACACACACACCTATGTGTGGGTTGGTAGGTGTTGGGATGCAATGACTGCCAGCTCCAGAAATGTTCCTGGCCAGTGATAAAGCCTCTCCAAAAGTGTCCCATGGTTCACAGTCCACATCCACAAGCTACGTGAGGCCCACTTTTCTGCTGTAGAGCTAGGACCCCCATTATCTGTCCTGGGCATTCTCTACCGTCAGTACCTATAGATGCAACCTCCTCATACAGTGGGCTAAGCAACAGGTGGCTAGGGGAAGGGGTATGGAAAGCTAACAAGCAGCTGGTCCCACCATGGAGTCCACAGATGTGACACACCACCTAAAGCCACTCCCCTCGCTGGTGAATCACCGTCACAATAATAATTACAGTTGCTTGTAAGATACATTCTATTAAAACCATGGAAGTGTTACCAATTGTGAGCAGTCATTTTGGACCATGAGATAGCAGGTTTGCAGAGCAACAGCACCAAAAGAATCAGTTCTCTGGTGATCTTGGAGCTGCCATGCTACCTGCCTCCAGGACAGGAATTTCCTTCCATTCACTTCAAGCCACTAGTGTTTGTCATGGTGTTGGTGTTTCCAAACCAAATCCTGAATGATACATCATACTTTTCTGTCCCAGCTAATCTGTCAATAAATGGGAGACATATGGGACTTGTTGGGCAGGAGGTAAATAATGATGAATGAAGGACAAATTGAGAGTGACTAGGACAAAGAGAGACAAAGGATGATGGGAGGGAGGAGAATGAGCAGCAGAGCAGAGTGCATGTGGGTAGTATGGGGCAGAGTGAGAGAGTGACTATGCATTAGATTTTGAATTAGAGATTATGGATGAGACTGAGCAAGTGATGGGAAAATGAGGCACAGTCTAAGTGACAAAAAAGTGAAAGTGGGAACAAACTGAATGAATGCAGCAATGAAAGGCAGTGAATGGAGCTGATAAAGCATTAGAGTACAAGTTGATATGAATACTAAGGATCAGATGAATGAAAGATTAGTGAAAGAATGATGGTTTATGGGCCACAGTATCAGTAAAGAGAGGTGAATTTAGGGGAAAAGTTGGAGTGAATGGAGGTAATATGGGGCATAGTGGGAAGAATGGGGGGACACAGGGCAGAATAACAGGGGATGGAGATGCATACATGGTAGAATGTGAATATATGAATCAGGTTAAGTTCGTTTGAGTGGGGATACTATGAGGGAGAAGGAGAGTGACTAGAGGTGAATGAGGGCAGACTGTGATTAGGTAGGAGTAATGCAGGGCAGTGTTCCAGGAATGTACAGGGATCCCAGTGTGAATCAGCCCAGGTGAATGCTGATGTGTGTGCATGAATGGAGGTAATGCTGGGAAGAGTGGGAAGGAATGAAAGTAAAGAGCAGAAGAAGGTGCATAACAGTGGGTATTGTGAGGCAGAGGGCAAGGGGATGAAGGTCACATGGCTGAGGGTGAATAAAATGGGGGAAATGGGTCCCAATGTTAGCAAAAATTAATGAATTCAAGTCAGGGTGTGACTGAATGGGGGTACTATGGAGCAGAGTAGGAGCAACTAGACATCAATCAGAAGCAGAACAGAAGTGATAAGTGGGAATAGGGGTTATTGGAAGTGAATTTAAATGAATGAGATGAGAGGTAGAGAAAGAGTTTATGGAGGCAATGAACATAAAATTAAGAATGAGGTGAGCAAGCATCAAGTGTGTATATGTGGGTAACTTGAGCTAGGGTTTGGGAGTAATATGGGGTAGAGCTTCAGGAAATGGAGGTAATAAGGGGGCAGCATTTGAGAGAATATAGGTAAAGAAGGGGCAGAAAGAGAGTGAATGAGGAACAAAATGAGGCCCAGAGTCAATAAACAAGGCTGAAGGATGGGCCACATGAGAGTAAATGGAGTCATTTGTTGCAGTGTCAAGAAATAGAGACAAAAGTAGGAAATGAGAGTCTCGGTGACAGTGAATAGAGGTGAAGTAGGAATATGGTGTGAGAGACTTAGGGTAATGATAAGAAGAGGGTTAGGGAATCACAGTAAGATGAGGCCCAGTGTGAATCAATATAAGTGGATGAGAGGCATTGTAAGTGAACAGGGGAATAAAAGGTAGGACAAGAATGTAGATGGAACAGCAGAAGAGTGTATATGTGATACATCATGTGTCATATGTGGGACAGAGTGAAGTTGGGGGTAACATGGGGGCAGATTGCAATAAATTGGGGTGGAACAGGGTACAATAAGTGAAGAGAAGTGAAGGAGGTGTCAAGAATGAGTAAATGGAAGTAATTAGGGGCAGAGGGTGAGGGCACAGTAGTCATATTTTGCAGAGCATGAGAAATCCAAGGTGGTAGTAGGCACAGTGTAGTGAACAGAGCTGACTGCTCAGCAGATTGGGGGAATGGAGGCAATGAGGGGCAGAGTGAATGGAAATGGTGGTACCAAGTGGTAGAACATGATTAGCAACAATAGTGTGGAACAGTGTTAAGGACTGTGGGCGAATGTAGGCCAAGGGTGAGTAAGGCCCAGTACCTGAGTGCCACTTATCCTTTGTGTGTCCCCAAGCCCCTCTCTCCCTGAATTTCTTTCTGACACCACTGGGTCTCTCCTTGTTTTTGTATTCTTTCATCTCTATGTATACATTAGTATCTTTCTTTTTTCTTGTGTGTGTGTCTCTAACAGAATTTACCTGGGCGAAGATAGTGAGGTGCTCAACCCTCTGGTTTCTGTATTCTAGAATCTACTACCTAGATATTTGCTCATAGAGGCCAGAGTTCCATAATACCCCTAGTTCTGAACACTGCAGGGTGAGTCTGGAGCAAGGAGTCAACTAGGAGGGCTTTTGAACGTCAGAATGCAGACCCTCAGTGCTGTACTGGTGACTCTGACCATGCTGATGGCTGCCACGGTGGATGCCAAGCTCTATGAACGCTGTGAACTGGCAGTGAAAATGGAGGAAGCGAGCCTCAATGGCTTCATGGGCTATGGCGTTGGAGACTGTGAGACCCTAGCTATCTCAAGTCCCACCCACACCCCAAGCTGCCCAACATATTCAGGCCCAAGACTCCCTTGTCATTTATCACCTCCCTAGGCCAGGGCATGATCCTCTAAGTCACCCCCTAAGACTGTGATAAGTGATTTAACTAACTATAATGCCATCACCATCATTTCCTTCACAACTATTACCTTCATCTCTATCATCAACACCATCACTACTACCAATGTCATCACTGCCACTATATCCATGAATACCATCACCACTGCTATCCCTGATACCTCACCAGAATCACCAACATCAATACCACCACCAAACTAAGATCATCACCCCCACAACTGAGACGACAACTATTCCTGTCCCCACCCCCTTCATCCTACTCTCCCCCCATTCCCAGGACACACGCTTACTGCTACCTGCTCCCTCTTTGTCCCAGGGCTGTGCACAGCACACTATGAGAGTGGCTTTGACACCTCCTTCGTGGACCACAATCCTGATGGCAGTAGTGAATATGACATTTTCCAGCTGAACTCTGCCTGGTGGTGTGACAATGGTGTTACACCCACCCAGAACCTCTGTCACATTGACTGTCATGGTAAGGCAGCACTGGGGACACCCTGAAGTCCTGCCTGGCCCCTTGCTCTGCACACAGAGGGCAAGGTTGTCTAAGCCATAATCTCTAGTAACAAGAAGAAAAATGATAAGGGAACAAAACCAGAGTTGCCTGGGTGGTTAAAGACACCATCCTATACCCTACCTAGACTGCACTGAGATGCTCTCTACTTCAGGAGGACTCAGAGCCTCCAAACCTTACCCAGAATGGAGGCTACAGTTTTCTGGGACTCAGGAAACTTAGCCCCATATGAAATGGAGGGGAAGGTTTTCCTGATTTGGGGTTGAGGTTGTTCAGGTCCTGAAAGAAGCAGATATCTGGCTGTAGGAACAGAGACACGGTGCCTCCGTGCAGAAAAGAGAGAACTTTCCAAACAAGAGTATGGTTTTGTTGAGGACGAAATTGAATAATAGAAGTTGTTCAGGGTTGGTCAAAATGGTGTTTGAGGTTGTCCAAGACAGGCCAAAATGGAGACTGAGGTTATTTGGGGCCAGCCCAAATGGAGGTTGAGGTTGTTCAAGTCCTGCCATGACAAAAGAGGTCACCCTGATTGGCCAGTCTGAAGGTTGAGGTTGTCCACAACTGGCCTCCATAAAGGTTGATGTCTGGGACAAGGTAACATGAATATACAAGTTTTTCAAGGCTAGCTAAAATGAAGGTTAAGGTTAAGCTAACATGGAAGACTAGCCAACATGGACACTGAGGTCATTTGTAACCACTCAAAATGGGAGTTGAAGTTATCCAGGACCTGATAACATAGTGTTTGAAGTCACCAGGATTAATCAACCTTGCAGTTGAGTAGCTTCCCAACCAGCCAACATAGTAGTTGAGGTGACATTGGACCAGCTGCCATTACAGTTGAGATCATTCATGACCACACAAAAACGGCAGTTGAAGTTATCCAGACCTGGCCAACATGGATTCTGAGGTTGTCTAAGACCAGCGAATATGGTGGTTGAGGTTATTCATTACCAGCCAACATGATAGGCAAGGTCATCCAGGATTAGTCAACATGAGTTAAGGTTGTACAGAACCAGCCAACATGGCAGTTGAGGTAGTTCATAACCAGCTGACAAATGAATCAAGGTCATCTAGAATCAGCCAATGTAGTGGTTAAGGTTACTCAGGCACCAAGGAACCCAGAAACCCTGGGCCTAACATACACTGTCACCCTGTCCCTAATGCACAAAATCACCATGTCCCTTTCTTTCCCCCACACCTGCTCAATGGCCATATTCTGGATTACATCGTGGGTGCCAAGCAGGTGCTATCCACACAGAATGGTATGAAAGCCTGGTAAGTTCATGGGGATGGCTTGGACCGTGGGTGGACAGGATAGTGGCACTGCCATCCTATCAGCCTGTCCACTTCATCCTCTCTCCCTCCCTCCCTTCATTCCCCAGGAATTCTTGGAGCCGACACTGCTATGACCATGATTTATCTGAATGGATCAAGGGAAGTAATATGCATGCAAAAACTAACCCAAAGAAAATTAATTCATGACTCAGATTCCCAGAGATTTTCTTTTCCTTCTTTCATGGTTTTAATAAAGGATGGTATCTATAAGCAATGCAAGAGACCTCTGAAGTCTGACTCTCTGTATTTTTCCAATGCCTTTACATAACCATATTCATTCATTTGCTTCATATATTCAAAGCTGTAATCAAGGGACACCAGATCACTTAGGGTCGAGAGGGTGGAGGATAGTGTAGTGACTAAGAGCATAAGTTATCCTAGGTTGTCTTGCCAATGAGTTACAGCCCCAGGCAAGTTCACTATGGATTGAATGAAACCGAGGAATGACAATGGAATATTTTTGGGGTAAAAGAGTTTATTACCCAGCTTTGTTCTCACAGTGGTTAAGTTGAGCACTAGAATTACATCTGTATCCAACAGTCTGCAGGTCTGTAATCCTTATTCGTCTCTGCCTCCCCCAAGAGCACTGGGCAGAGCTCTCTATATAGTGACTCAGTCAATAATAGCTTATTGACTATGGGTATGGAAGCAGTAACCCAACAGTAGGCCAGTTACATCATCAAGTAGTTTAGCTTCATGTAAGGACCAGAATGGCTAAAATTAAGGTCAAAATCCAAATGGTAGCAAGGATGTGGAGTAACTGGAACTCTCATATATTGCTGGTGACAGTAAAATGGTATGGCCACTTTGGAAAACATTTTAGCTGAATCTAACGTAGGACCCAGAAACCCCACTCCTAGGTATATATCCAGTGGAAATGCACACATATATTCACCAAGACATGTGCAATAACATTCATAGAAATGTTATTTGTAATAGCCCAAATGGAAATATCCATCAACAGTAGAATGGATAAACAATTGTGATATATATATATATATATATACATACACACGTACAGTGGAGTAGTACATAGTAATGGAAAGAGAACAAACTACTGATACATCAAATAACAATGATGAATCTCAAAAACATGAGTGAAAGAAGCCAGGCCTAAAAGAATAATAATGTATGATTCCATTTATATGATATTCAAGAACAGGCAAATATAATCTATGATGATAGAAATTAGAAAGTGGTTACTCATGAGTTAGGGGATAATTATCAGAAGTGGCATAAAGCAGGCTTCTGGATGGCTTGCCATTTAGTATATCCTAATTCAGATACTAGTTATACAGGTGTTTCCAATTTGCAGAAATTCAAGAAACTGTACACCTTGATAACTTTTCTCTCTAAAATATACTTCAATAAAAGATCTACCCCAGAAGGTTTTTTCTTTGTTCGTTTTTTTATTTTTTGGTATCATTCATCTACAATTACATGTGGAACATTATGTTCACTACATTCCCCCCTTCACCAAGTTTCCCCCACAACCCGCATTACACTCACTGTCCATCAGTGTAGTAAGATGCTGTAGAAACATTACTTGTCTTCTCTGTGTTGCACAGCCCTCTCCGTGCCTCCCCCCACATTATACATGTGTGTATAATGCCCCCTTACTGCCCCCTTACTTTGCCCCCCCTTATCCCTCCCTTCCCACCCATCCACCCCAGTCCATTTCCCTTTGGTAACTATTAGTCCTTTCTTGGGTTCTGTGATTCTGCTGCTGTTTTGTTCCTTCGGTTTTCTCCTTGTTCTTATACTCCACATATGAGTGAAATCATTTGGTACTTGTCTTTCTCCGCCTGGCTTATTTCACTGAGTATAATACCCTCTAGCTCCATCCATGTTGGTGCAAATAGTAGGATCTGTTTTTTTCTTATAGCTAAGTAATATTCCATTGTGTATATGTACCACATCTTCTTTATCCATTCATCTACTGATGGACATTTAGGTTGCTTCCATTCCTTGGATACTGTAAACAGTGCTGTGATAAACATAGGGGGGTGCATCTGTCTTTTCAGACTGGAGTGCTGCATTCTTAGGGTTAATTCCTAGAAGTGGAATTCCTGGGTCAAATGGTATTTCTATTTTGAGCATTTTGAGGAACCTCCATACTGCTTTCCACAATGGTTGAACTAATTTACATTCCCACCAGCAGTGTAGGAGGGTTCCCCTTTCTCCACAACCTCGCCAACATTTGTTGTTGCTTGTCTTTTGGATGGTAGCCATCCTTACTGGTGTGAGATGATATCTCATTGTGGTTTTAATTTGCATTTCTCTGATGACAAGTGATGTGGAGCATCTTTTCATGTGTCTGTTGGCCATCTGAATTTCTTCTTTAGAGAACTGT